AAGCCTGCCCAAGTGCTGGGGAGAGGCTCAGTTTTACTTTTCAGCCCACTCCGTTTGCCCAGCCAACGACTGCCCCACGCTGCCCAGTCCCTGCCCCACCCCTCAAGCTCTGCCCCTGTTCCACCCCCTCCCCTGCGCAGTGCGAGCCAGAGGACGGCAGGGGCCTGGCGCGGGGCAACAGCAGGGTCGCACCCCTCTCCCATGCTCCTCATGTTGGTGGGAGCTAGAGCAGCCTGCTCCGCTCTGCCCTGCCCCCCGGCCCAGCCCGCTGTGCCCCATGGCAGTGAGCGCAGGAGGGGCCCCTTCCCCCACATAAACCCCCGGGCCGCCCCCGGCCCCACAGCCGCCGTGGGGCTCCCCAAAGCACAGAACCTGGGGCGGGTGCCCTGAGCCGTCCTATTGACCTCAGAGTTGAAGGCGTTTCGTGGGGTCGCTCCAGCCCCCCAGCCCTGCTCCTGCCCACATACCTAAGGCATCCTGCAGGTACTTCTGCCCCACCAGCTTCAGGTACTCCTCGATGGCTTTGGTGGCCAGCGTGTTCTCCCGGAAAATGAGGTGCTCGTTTTCGCCGCAGCGATCGACTTCGGACATCATCAGGTCGGTCAAGAACTCCTGCGAAGGGAAGTCCATGGGGGGTTACCGCTTCCCGACAGGGGTGTCACCGAGCAGAGTGCACACGGAGCCCCCCTCCATGGGGCTCCCCCTGCCACTGGCATCCCCAAAACCTCCTCGCTTCTCCGGCGTGGATCAGCCACCAACCCTGCCCCCCCGCCGCGCCGAATCAAGGAGACCCGCCGGGCAAGACAGCTCTGGAGGGTTACACCTGAGCCGTCTAAACAAGCCATTTTAACCCTCCGGCATCTTCAACACAACCACCGTCATCGTCTTCGCTGGGGGCCTGCTTTTGACCGGAGTCTGGGCTTTGGGGCTCAATTTTGTCCGTCGGGTTAAAGGTGGCTGCATTTAGACACCTCCCTGCGATGCCGGCAAAGCCGCGTGACGGTGTGTAAATGCCCATGCGCCGTGCCCCTCGTGAACAGCTGGGAATCAAGTCCTCACTATGCACCGGGATTCCCCCCGCGCCGTGGTTACTCTCGTACGCAGGCAAAGGAACGGCACTGCCACCCTCCTGGCAATAGCCTCGTTTCCCTTGGATGTGCATGGACCCCAGCTGCACGTTCCCCCCCGTGCCTGGTGAGCCGGGAGAAATTGCCACCAGCGTTGCCTTGTGCCTCCGCGAGGGCTGGCCCTGACCCGCCACGGCTCTAAGGACGCAGCCGGGCTCCAAAGAACAGCGCAGCGTTTTCTGGAATCGTGAGGCTAACAGGCAGCGGGGAGGGGGAGGAATGGGAGGCGCTCTCCCGATTCCCCACGTGCCCGGCCGGAAAGCTGCTGGGAGGCAGGCGCGGTGAATGACGGTTAACTAGTGCCCGGGTTTAAATGCAACTCCTGCCCCTGGTCGTCCCCCCCCCCCCCCACACTGCTGTGGGGCCTGCCAGCCTCCTGTCCCTTCCCAGCCCTGTGACATTCATCTGGAGGGCGGATGATAAATCAGCTGCCGAGACTGTGAAGTACCCACGTTCGCCCTCGGACGGTTGCCTGGTGTAGGGGAGAGAGGCCGAAAGGCTGACAGGGAAATTGACTGGTACAGCTGAAGACTTTTTTTTTAAGCCACCTTCCTCAAAAACAAAAGCTTGTGCTCGGTGATAAGGCCTCAGCGAGATCACGACGTTCCCCTGCCGTAAGTGGTTGTACCACACACAGCCCGCTGGCTGGGGCACGACGCGCACAACGCACGGCCGATCGCCAAGCCGGGTGCCGCTGTCACTCCCCAGACAAACACCCGCCGTCCGCGGGCAAGCCAGGTACGCGCCCCGCTCTGAGGAACCACTTGGTTCCTCAGGCCCATGAATCCGCCCCCCCGGAGTTGAGCGGCACGGCAGAGCAGTGTCAAGGAAAGCAAGAGAGTCGGGCCACAACGGTTTCTCCCCTTTGACACAGTCATGACTCATTCACCTTCCCCTTTTACCGCAAACAACGCTGCAGACGTTGGACAGCGACGCTGGGGTGGCTCAGGACTCGGCTCGTGATCAGGATGTGCCAGGAAGGCGTCACCAGTCTTGATTTCGAAAGAAATGGGATCTGGATCGATTTGATTCACTTCGGGGAACCGTGAAATCTAGTCAAGCCCTAACTCCAGCTATCGGACTCCAAGACCAAGTACAGATTGAACCTCTCTAGTCCGGCAACATCCGTGGTGTGGCGTGATTTTTCTTAGCCAGACATCCACTTGTCATGAGTGTGGCCAAGTTTCCTGTGGTCTCATAAAGTTTGTTTACAGCCACCAGTCCTGACGCTCAGTGTTCGGTGCTGTTATTTAGCCCTAATTGACTCCTACATGTTTTCTCTGAGCCCAACAAGCAGTGGAAGGGACTATCAACCTGCCCGGGTTCGGCACCAGGCAGGTCCCGAGGGTGCTGGACTAGAGAGATTCAACCCGTATTGGGAGAGGGCTAGTGCCTTGCCATCAGTTTTCCATTAGGGTACGTCTGCACTAGCCCCCTAGTTCGAACTAGGGAGGCAAATGAGGGCGACCGAAATTGCAAATGAAGTGCGGGATTTAAATATCCTGCGCTTCATTAGCATGTTCCCGTCTGGTCGCCATTTTGGAAATTGACTAGCCCAGAAGAACTGCCCGCGTCTACACGCGGCAGAGAAAGGCAATTCCGAAATAAACCGCTTACTTCGAATTACCAGTTAAACCTCATGAGGTTTAAATCCCGTGGTTCATTTGCAATTTCAGTCGCCCTCGCTAGCCAAGGAGAAGTTTATTTTGGATGTAGACACCTGCCCACAAGGAGCAGGATTAAGACACATCCGCCAGGGCTCCCTGTAAGCTGTATGCTTGAGCAGCTACCCAGGAGAGATTCAAATGTCGCCCCGCTGATTAGCAGTGCGCTCACAGCCCCAGCATGGATTTCTCCTGGGGGTGCACATCCACACATGCGTTGGCGCGCAGAACAAAATGTATTCTGCACGCAGGTGGAAAAATTAGAGGGAACACGGATATCAACTCATCTCCACAGAGGCCCAATGGGGGTATATTTCAGTCCCGGGCCAACCTGTGTTGAATTTGAACCAGTGACCTAAAGGTGAAGGAACTATTAAGAAAGGGACACACTGCTCATTCCAGCCCCAAGCGACTTCACTCTCTGCACCACTGTAGTGGCATGCCTCTTCCATGAAAAAAAAAAGAAAGAAAAATCCAGTACATTTTGCAATTAAAAAAAAAAGACTGTAAGTGACTGCAGGGCCCTGCAATGTCCGATTTCTCCTGAGACTGATGGCCACTGCTTTGCTCTCCCCTTGCTAGGGAAGATTAGACATTTACAGTAAGTGGAAATAAAGTGACATCCAGTCGTATTTTAACATCCACCTCTCTCCTTGCACACGCCTTGTCCAAAGGCAAGGTTCACGTGCCATCTCTAAGCAACAGGAGCAGCAATTTTGATCGGCATGTCAGGGCACTATGACTGCTAGTCCCGGTTGCATCTCAGGAAGTAGTCCAAGCGATTTTTAGCAATGACTGTGAACAGAAGTAAATGAAAATCTTCCATTGTACATGAGATGCAGCGTCAATGTCCCACAAAAGGCCAAACACGGAATGCAGGGGTCTGCCTGTCAGCTGGAACACTACCACACCAGCCCAATGCCTGTCCCACTTGCCCTGCATTAAAGAAAGTATGTGCAATAATACGAGCGGCTCCAACCATTATTTTATTGTTCCCACAACATAAGAACTAGAAGTCACCAAATGAAATGAATAGGTAGCAGGTCTAAAACAAACAAAAGGAAGTTTTTCTTCACGCAGTGCACAGTCAACCTGTGGAACTCCTTGCCAGAGGATGTGGTGAAAGCTAGGCTTTTAACAGGGTTCAAAAAAGAGCTAGATAATTCATGGAGGTTAGGTCCATCAATGGCTATTAGCCAGGATGGGTAGGAATGGTGTCCCCAGCCTCTGTTTGTCTGGAAGTGGGTGACAGGAGAGGGATCACATGAGGATTACCTGTTCTGTTCCCTCCCTCTGGGGCATCTGGCCTTGGCCACTGTCGGCAGACAGGATACAGGGCTAGATGGACCTTTGGTCTGACCCAGTCTGACCATTCTTCTGTCCTTTGCAATTCCTAGGTGCCTGGCAGGTATCTCTTCCAATCCCCACAACCCTTTCCTTCTTTTTAAAAGGAACAAATATTTTCTTGACATCAAACCGGAGGCCCAGCAGGACAGACAAACACACGGGGGCAGGGGTGGGGGTGACGCGAGCATGTGGCCTGGAACATACTCCAGAGTCGCTGCGGCTGAGGGTGTGCGGAGCCCCCTTGGGACACGATCCGTGGTCTGGCGCGGCCACTCACTGCGCACAGTCCCTCTCTCCCCACTCCCCATTCTGGCAGGAGGCCTTCGGATCCCGTCCCGCTAAGCGAGGCAGCGACTCAGCCACGCGATACGTTCCATTGACGTTCCCCGACTTTTCCGTAGCAGCCTCCGGAGTGTGACTTGACAGCGGTGCTGGCGGCACTGCGGGGCAGGCTGGCACGTGCCAGTGTACACCTGGGGGGTACAATCCACTGAGGTGCCTTTCACGTCCCCCGCCAGAAAAGTGCTTGAAGGTTTAATAGAGAAACCACCAAGTGGCCTCTGTAGAAAGCCTGGCGACTGTCAGCGAGCAGGAGCCTTTCTGTAGAATGCAGAGACCAGCCCGGATCCCGCGATGGGCCACCTGGGCTGGCGAGCGGCCCACAGCCAGCCTAGCGGGCTGCCCACCGCAGGGTAGAATATAACAAAGAACAAGGCCCCTGCCAGGCGGTTCTGAAGCTCCTGCAGGACTTTCCCATCCAAGTGACGGACGGGCGTCTCCAGGAACACGTGAAGGGGCAGGAAGGCGATCAGGGCGGGGAGGAAGGGCAGCCGGAAAGGGGAGGAGGCTTCGTTGTACATTCAGGGCATGCACACCTGCTGCACAGCTGTGCCCAGTCGCCCCGGCTGGAATGGCTACAGCCGGCTCCGAGTGCTTCCCCAGGCCTGGCGTTCGCAGGGCTGGGACCCGCGGGCCAGCAGAGCCTCCCCTGCCCAGATGTCTCGATCGTAAAAGACAAGCTTTTAAAAAAAGTCATTCTGGTTATTCCTCTAGACAGACAGGCAGGGAGACAGACACAGGCAGGCAGAGTGACAGGTAGGGAGACAAGCAGACAGACACAGGCAGGCAGACAGAGGCAGGCAGGCAGAGTGACAGGTAGGGAGACAAGCAGACAGACACAGGCAGGCAGACAGAGGCAGGCAGGCAGAGTGACAGGTAGGGAGACAAGCAGACAGACACAGGCAGGCAGACAGAGGCAGGCAGGCAGAGTGACAGGTAGGGAGACAAGCAGACAGACACAGGCAGGCAGACAGAGGCAGGCAGGCAGAGTGACAGGTAGGGAGACAAGCAGACAGACACAGGCAGGCAGACAGAGGCAGGCAGGCAGAGTGGAGACAGGCAGGCAGGCAGGCACGCAGGCAGGGAGTCAAGCAGACAGACACAGGCAGGGAGGGAGACAGACACAGGCAGGGAG